ATGGTGCCAGCAGCTTTTCAAGTTGAGTTTCCCAACTTCTAAAGACTTTTCGGTGAAGATCTGGTGCTAATTCTAACAATGTTTGCTTCCTTGCTGGGGGTGGGTGCAGGACAGTGAAGGGGTTTGCATTCTAACCCATTCCTGCCTTTGGTGGCTCACTTCGAATAGTTAACAACGAAGTCCGCTAGCACAAGTCCCCCAGCCACTTCCACGTCCTCCCAGTTCTCTGTGGCGTCTTTGAGCAGACTGCCTTCTCTCCAGGCATTTGCATAAATATCCCACTGCCTCTCTGGTGAAGGAAGTTCCTGCCTGCTGCCTCTGGTCTCCAGGACAGCCCTCCACTGCCAGGAATTCCATGCCCGGGGAATTCACCCTCCCGCTGCTAATCCCTTGCTAAGGAGTCCTTAGTTCTTTACTAGCCACCACCAGGAGACACAGTTACTGGCCAACAGGCTTTCAGAACTCACTATTAGTTCAGAGCCTCTGCAGACCACAGTTGAAGGGTGACAAAGAAGCTGAAAAGAAAAAAAGGCTCGACAGTCCCAGACTTGGGACCCCAGCCGCTGAGAGCGACTTCTGTGTGCAGGTGCCACTGGCACTCTGGTAATCACAGGGCTGGGAGAACCCTTGATCCGCCATCTGCTTCCCTGCAGCTGACCCTGCAAAGCTCTTCCGGAACAGTGTTGCAGGGTCCCCAAGCTCCGCTCTACTCTTTCCACCCAACATAGGGGTGCCACCAAGATGGGGTGCCCTCTAATCTCCTCTGAACCCTGACACCACGCTAAAGCGTTCTCAGCCTGAGAGTTGGCTGCGGGACAGATGGGAACATCCACAGGCAGCTACGTGTGCGTGAACAGGGCAGAACCCATGCCCCGTGAGTCAGAGGACAAAGCCAAGGGTGTCAGCTTTGCAGGAGCGACTTGGGACACCAGCAGGTTACTCAGAATGCACTGGAAAGACCAGACCAGGAGCTGAAAGACAGAGGAGGTGTGTGTCATTATGTAACCTGCCACACCAGGAGCCCATGGACACGAGACCTTCGGTTGCCACCCACAGCACTGCTTGGGCCTGCGTGGCCTGCTGAACCCTCTGAGATACCCACAGGTCAGTACACAGCCCCTGGCCTTGGAGGACAGGAGGTGACAGCAGCAAGGGGCTGAGACAGAGCCTCAGGTGTGATGAGTTCTGAGGACTGGGGGACATACTAAGCTTCTAGAAGTTTCTGGCAGTGGTGAAGGGTGGAGGTCAAGAACATCTCTCCCATTTGAATGCCTCAGTGTTAGCCTACAGAGCATAACCTGTTCTAGCCACTATGCCAAGTGCTTTACTTAGATTTTCTCTAGGTCTTAAATTTGGGAGATGAGTGTTATCACCAAGAAAACAGGGTCTGACAGAAGTTGTATAAGTTGTGATTTACACAAGGCACGTGGAAGTGGTGGGACTTGAACTCAAGTCTGTGTGATCCACAAGTCCCCAGGCTTTGTGGAAATGTCTGCTTCTGTTCTTTGCCCATATTTCAATTGAGTTGTCTTTTAAGAAAAAGATGTATTCATTTTATATAAAATGCAGATTTACAGACAGAAAGATCTTTTATCTGCCGATTCACTCCCCAAGCAGCCACAACGACCAGAGCTGCACCAACCCAAAGTCAGGAGCCAGGAGCCTGTTCCGGGTCTCCTGCATGAGTGCAGGACCCCAAGGCTTTGGGCCGTCCTCGACAACTTTCCCAGGCCACAGCAGGGAGCTGGGTGGCACGTGAAGCAGATGGATTCAAATAGACACCCATTTGGGGTGCCAGCACCACAGGTGAAGGCTTAGCCTACCATGCCATGGCATCAGCCCAAACTGGGTTGTCTCTTTTATTATGGAGTTGTGGTAGCAGAGTGTATTCCACGTACAAGTCACTTATCATTGGGAAATACTGACTATTGGAACAATTTATGAGAGTCATTTGTTCATGAGTAAAATGAAAAGTGTGGTTATGCTGGGATCAGCAATGGAGCTAGGACTTAAACAGCACGTGTGGGATGCAGGAGTCTCAAGTGAGGCCTGAACCACTCTGCCAAACACCTGTCCTAGAAAGCTGAGTCTTTAGCCATCACGGGCTGATTGGTTATCATTTTATAAACCACTGCAATAATAGTCCCAATGCTTCTAAGAAATCAACAACATTGCTGATTTCATCTGGTATAAATGAGGCCAATGGGTGGTATGCTGGTCTCTGAGAAATCAGTCATGCTATTAAGATGAGGATTTAAGGGCCCAGCATGGTAGCCTGGTGGCTAAAGTCCTTGCCTTGTACACACCAGGATCCCATATGGGTGCCAGTTTATGTCCTGGCAGCCCCGGATCCATTCCGGCTCCCTGCTTGTGGCCTGGGAAAGCAACTGAGGACAGGCCAAAGCCTTGGGACCCTGCACCTGCGCGTAGGAGACCCAGAGGAGGCTCTTGGCTCCTGGCTTTGGATTGGCTCAGCTCCGGCCATTGTGGCCACTTGGGGAGTGAATCAGTGGACGGAAGATCTTCCTCTTTGTCTCTTCTCTCTGTATATCCACCTTTCCAATAAAAATAAAATAAATCTTTAAAAAAAAGATGAGGATTTAAACCTGCAAGGAAAAGAAAAGTCACTGCAGAAGGCTGCTTGTTTCTGAGTTATTGAAACACTTCTAATTCTGCTCGAGTCACAGCAAGCTTTCCTTAAAAAAGAGGGCGGAGACATTGCAGCACAGCCGGTTAAGCCACCACATTCCAGAAGAGTCTCAGTTCAATTTCTGGCTATTCTACTTCTGATCCAGCTCCTGCTAGTGTGCCCTGGAAAGCAGAGGAGGAAGGCCAAGTGTTCCAACCTCTGCCGCCCACACGAGGAGATTCAGACGGAGCTGCTGACTCCTGGCTTCGGTTTGGCTCAGCTGCAGCCATGTGGGAAGTGACCCAGCGGATGAAAGTGCTTTCTCTCTCTTTCTCTCCCTCTCTCTCTGTCCCTACTAACCTTTCAAGTAAATAAGTTGAAAGGAAGGAAGGGAGGGAGGAAGGGAGGAAGGAAGGAAGGAAGGGAGACAGGCACAGATGAAGCCCAACATGCATGGCCTGGTGTGGTACCCAAGGACCAGAGCAGTTTCCGCTGCCATCTAAGGCATTTCTCAGATTGGCACAAAAGTTGTGCCATCAGCCCAACCTGCAAAAGAGGGATCTAGCCTGCGTGGCGGCCACTGGACTGAAGTCTTCAGCAAGCAGACATAAGTGGATGTCTGCTAGTGGCTTCTGGAATGGCATTTGCCTCTCCGTAGAAGAAGGCTCAAGCCCCTTCCTAACTATTTTCAGATGTTTTAAGATATGAGGCTGGAGCTGCTGCAGCCGCTTTGGAACCAAGAGGGGAAGCAGTGCTGTGCCGTGGGGGATGAATGCAAGGCAGGGAAGCCGAGATTCTTGGTGTCACTGTTGCACCGCTCAACAATCTGAAAGCACCTACTGGGGAGTTTTTAAGTGATTTCAAAACCACTTCATGGTTCCATCCCCTTTCAGTTTCACCCCCACAATTAACTGTATAGGGACAGGTTCAAGCCAACACATTTTTGATAAGAACAAAAGCCATGTGACTGAACCAAACCAAAACTGCTGGTTCCAAGTTCTATTTTTGTCATATAGTCTTCAAAGGTATTCAAAACCAACGGTGGCACATGTGTGTTTCATGGGCACCTGCCGTGCACCTGGTACCACACTGAGGGCTGGGGTTAGAAGTCTGGACAAGGTAGAAGGCAATTGTGGTCACAGAAGCCACATTCAAGAAGCCCTAGTAAGAAAGTCAACAACCAGAAATGTTCTTAGACCACTTTGGAAACAAAGGTGTAAGTTAGTCCCTAGCAGAAACACAGATCCCTGGCAGACTGGCATCCAATGCCATTTCCATCAGTTGCCACGGCCTCGGGAGACTGACTCCCGACTTCCACAGTATCAGTTTTCGTCATCTGTTACGTGATGAGAACAGACGATGTCACAGAGCAAACCGGAGGGCTCTGTCCCCGCCCACAGTCAGTATCTGTTGATGCTAAACCCGTCATTAAGTGTCAGCAATCCAACATTTCTGCATTCTTCCACAAATATGGGCGCCAAGAATACAGATTCGCCTGGAAAACGACCAGAAATTAGACCAGGGCCAGACCGGAAACGAAAAGAGCTCCTCTGGGACCCACCGTAGGGCGGCCCGCCCCACGTGTCCACTCTGTCCCCGCGTGATCACTACCCCTGTCCCACATGGACGGAAGGACTTGGGGTTCATGGTCGCTCTCCTGTCCCCAAGAGAAACAGGAGGACCTTCTGCTTCCAGGGTGAAGCAACAAACATAGGCCGTGTGTGTGTGTGTGTGTGTGTGTGTGTGTGTGTGTGTCTCCAGCGCATGCATCTTGCCTGCGAATGTGCCATGGATACTCCAGCAGCTGAGCTCCCCAGACCCCGGTGCCTTCCTCCACCTCCGCCACTCTGGGCGCATTTTCCCACAGCCTGCTTCTGATCTGCTCTCCCACAGGGAATCCCTGAAGGCTTACACAGGAATTTTGCGAGCCAAAGGGAGGGAAAGAAGGAAGTGCAGATGCGGGGGAGGGGGGAACCGTCTCCTTGGTCCCTCACGCGCGGCCCCAAAAGACACAACGTTCCAAGTCAAGGCCTTGGCTGGGCACACCGCCCGCCGAGCTGCGTCAGTCGAGCCGCCCCGGAGCCCCAGGCAGAAGCTGTCAAGGACAGCGCGCCGGGGATCCTGTTGTCCTTGTCCCTTCTCGGGCTGGCTGGCTCAGCCTGCACCTCCAGGCGGTGGACGAGGCACGAGAAGGCGGGCCCGCGACTCTCTGGAGTCCCCGCCCGGCGCTTACAAACCTGAAAAACCGGGACGGACGTCAACTTTGGCTCCTGCCCACGCCGCAGGTTTCGCAGGTCCCTGCCCGAGCGCGCGCCCTCACCGCGCCTCCGCCTGGACGCCCGCCTATTTAAACCGCCGGCCCCGGAGCCAGCCAGCTTCCACCCCGGGCGCCCCCTGGACAACTCCACGTAAGTACCTGTTTCCGGGGCTTTGCCTTGCGCGTGGAGAAGGAACCTTGCGTACAAAAGACCCCCGACCGCGCGGTACTTTCTGTTGCTTGTGCAGTTGGGGTTGGAGGCAGGAGGGGGAGTGAAAAAAAAAAAAACAACCCAGCCTTTTTCTCAAATCCCAAGTGCTGCCTGCACTAAAGATCTCAGCCCCACGTGTGTGCGTGCGTGGAACAGCGGGATGCGGAAGCCCTGCCGGAGTCTACGACTGTGCTGTCTCCCTAGTCCTGAAAACCAGCCCTTGTGGCGAGGCTAGGCCGGCTGCGTGGTTCCCCAGCGTTCCTTAGCTGGGGCTGGCAGTTTCGCGTTCATCTCGGAGCAGACTGGCTGGTTCCTAGGCGTCCAGGGTGGGTGGAGAAGGCGGCATCTCCGGGCTGAGCCGGGGTGTGCATGCTCTTGGTGGGGCTCCTGCAGGTGTGTATAACAGTACCCACACGGATCTCCGTCAAGGCCAAGAGCCTCTCCTGCGCCCCGCGGGTTTGACCAGGGTGTGGGCTTGGGGTCTGGGAGCACGGCAGGACCCAGGTGTTTCCAGGAGCCTGATGAGGAGAGGGAAGGAAGCCGCGTACCACTCTGTCTGGAAGAGAAAGGGGACTGCCGGGGTGGGGAGTCTCCAGAAGTCCCCTTGTCACCAGACAGAGCCTTGCAGCCTGCGTACCTGAGAGAATAGAAGGATGAATAGGGGAGAGGTTCTGGGAGGCAGGTGGTACTGAGGAACCCAGGGAGGGAGAATGGGCAGGCCCCCTTAACCCCCTTCACCTAACCCAGCAGGCATTTCTCAGCCAACCACCGGAATCAGATGTGGTGGAGTCTGAGCACAGATGAGCTAGGCAGGTGTCGGGAGGAAGAGAAAGCAAATACAAGGTGAATTCTGTTTCCAAAGAGTTTGAAGTCTCAAGTCCCGGGCTGTAACTAAGCCGGGCAGGAAGCGGTACACCTGTATGATGACATCGCAGACCATGGCAGAAAAGCCATGCCGGTTGGGCTAGAAGACAGCAAGGCGGTGTTCGCCTGGAGAAGGGAGGGTGTCCAGGGGTTCGGGAAGGGTGGCGGGAGGGTGATGGGTATGCCGCCCGGTGTCAGTGAGGCTCCCCACCTGCAGGTAAAAACTTGTCCAAGGGCTCACTTAAACACACACAGTATTGGATTTCAGTTCTGCCCCAACCACCCCGCAACAGTAGAGATAGTTTGTAATAGTTAAGAGTTCTAAAAATCAGATACTGAAACTGAAAAGAAAAGGTTTGGCGGGGGGCGGGAGTTGGGAATGAATTCAGTAAGTTAAGGAGTAGAACCAGAGGTTAAGGTCCTAGCCTTGGTTTTCCAGCAAGAACATCTCACCCGCCGACTGTCAGAATTACAAAACTGCTGTTAAAAACATCAGCGCCCCACCCCAGTCTAGTCTAATTAGGCCAGCATCCCTGGATGGGCAGCCCTGGCCTTTGAAAGCTTCCCAGGTGGCTCTCATGTGTATCCAGGTATTTGAACCCACATAACCCAAGCCCTTCCCTTGGCTGAGGAGGGCAGTGGGATGGAGAGGTACAGACAGGACAGCTCCTGGCTATGCGGCCTGCGTGTCCCACGGTAGGGTGAGTCCAGGAGGTGCCAGGGAGAGCAGCAGGAGGAGAAGGCTGCCTCAGATCTTCTCTCACACAAAAGCATCCAGTGCCTTCTGGCAAACCCTTGGAACAGAGTGCCGGGCTCTGAGGCAGCAAGCCAGAGCATTCCTGGGGCCTCAGAGGTGTGTGATATAAGGAGTGTGTTGCCACGTGAAAAGGGGTGATGAGAAAGTTTCAAAGCAAACACTTGGTTTTACCCCCTGCATGATAACTGGTCGAAGGATTAGAGCTACTGCAAAGAATGTCCGTGGAAGCAGCTGAGGCACCTGCTTGCAGTCACGACCAACCAAGTCGTACAACTTTTCACCCGTGGGACGGGCCCGCCTCGTGCTACCCAGACTTTGGACGGGGATTTCCTTAGCAGAAGCATGGGAGGGTAACTTGTTCCGGTGACTTCTGCACCTTGTCTCACAACGCACACGACGCTGTGCCCTCCAGCTCTTCGCCAGCTCTGCCTTGGCCAGCTGGCCATCATGCCGGGGAGTTAGCCACCACCACCCCCATCCAGGGTACTGTTGGCAGGGTCTCCTTCTCTCTGGGCTTTTCTCTAGAAAGTGAGTTAAAGTTAGGATGCTGATAGACAATCATGACCAAAGGCTTTATGGCCTTAATGGCATGTTACGTAGTTTCAAGCAGGACAGCGGATGCGGGAGCCCTTTGAAAGGCTATGTAAATATAATTCTATCTGCATTTTAAAATGGGCATGATCAGGACAAAGTCTAAAATCAAAACATACAATTCTTCCCTAAATGCCTTGCTGGCCATTGGAGGGGCATGCGTTTCCTCCTTTTCAAAGGCAGAAATCTACCTGAAGGGCCAAGCTAGAAAGTCTGCTTGGTGCCTTCCTTACACAGGCACCCTTCCCTGAGCAGGACGCTGTCCCAGGCAGAGTGGCCTGTCTGGTCCTGGTGATCAGGGTGCCCAGGCCTGCATGCTGAGGGCCCACTAGCCCCAGGGGCCTGGCCCCATGGCATCCCCCAGCATGAGGTGGACCGTGGCGCTGGTGGGCGTGCAGCCAGGTGGAAAGAGGGCATGTTGGTAAACACAGCGGCCGGGACAGGAAGGGGAATTCCTTGCTGGGCCCTTGGGGGCAGAGACCACAGCTATGGAAAGGATGAATTGGCGTCAGGGTGGTAGACGATGCTGGGTTACTGTTTGGGAATCGAATGTTTCTCCCTACCATTCATAATTTAAATTTTTAAAATTTATTCATGTTTTTGCAAATACAGAAAAATTGTGCTTATTTGTGATATTTCAAAACATGTAGATAGGGCATAATGTTCAACTATGGCTGACATGGCTGTTGCTTTAAACACTTGTTATTTATCGTGAAAACATTAAATTCCCTCCTTCTAGCTTTTCTTCTTAAAAAATTCATTTCTTTTTCTAAAGCCAGAGGGAGAAAGAGAGAGACAGAGAGAGAAATTTTCCACCTGCTGTCTCACTCCCCGTGGCCACAATGACTAGAGGAGGCTATTCTTTTTGAACAGTATGTTTTCATTATCTGTGGTTGCACAGCTATGCAATAAATTTGTTAACGTAAGAGATAAGCTTCACTACTGATTAATAGTTCTTTATAACAGAACGTCTCACTTCCTCACATTACTTGGACCATTATTGCCGTCTTCTCTCCGTGGGGAATGGGCGCTGTGTGAAGGTGTGCTGTGACCCAGCCTGGGCTAAATTTTAACTGTGGACAGTCCATTTTTACTTGTGGGAACATGCCTGAGCGTGTCTTTGCCGAATCCTTTTCTGCAGAAATTTAGTGTAGACACGTCATGCAGAAGATAGCCTGGCCTGGAGAAGCCGACACCAGGCCGGGAGGTCAGGGAGAAGCCGACACCAGGCCCGGAGGTCAGGCACCGAGCTCCTATCTCCTCAGCTCTCCTAGGACTTTAAAGAACAGGGGACTCCAAAGAGTCGGTGTCTTGGTGGGGTCAGTAACAGCATTCCCTCCCACCAGCCAAGCTAGAAACAGCGGGGATTCCTATGACCACAGTCCATCGGCTGCTGGCCCAGCAGGCTCTGGAACCTGGCTCCTTGCTGCATCATTCTGGCCTCTCCCTGAGTCCTTTGCCCAACCTAGGACTCAGCTTGCCTGTGGGAAGTGTCGTGTCCCTCACTGCTCAGCCCCAGCTGCAGTGGTAACATTGGTTCACCACAGAGAGGTTCCAAATAGATGTGGAGGCGGTCATGGAGTTGTCTTATCCTGACATGTTGGCTTCAGGTTCCGTGTCAGCTCGCAGCCAGATTGGGCTCTTGGGAAAGTAGAGAAGTGAATTTTTGTTTTCAATTTTTATTGGAAAGTCAGATATACAGAGAGGAGGAGAGACAGAGAGGAAGATCTTCCATCCTCTGATTCACTCTCCAAGTGACTGCAACAGCCAGAACTGAGCCAATCCAAAGCCAGGATCCTGGAGCTTATTCCGGGTCTACCATGTGGGTGCAAGATCCCAAGGGTTTGGACAGTCCTCGACTGCTTTCCCAGGTCACAAGCAGGGAGCTGGATGGGAACTGGGGTGCCAGGACATGAACCAGAGCCCATATGGCATCCCAGTGCGTGCAAGGTGAGGACTTTAGGCGCTAGGCTACTGTGCTGGGCCCGAGAAGTGAAATTTTTACTCATACTTCCACATGTCATTCCTTGAATTTTCTTCTGGTGGTTTGAGTGAGACGCAACTCAACATGGAAACCCCACCAGCTATTCCACAAAAATGAACTCAGGCCTTGTATGTCAACACCAGGCAAGCAAAGACCCTACAGCAAACATTGTCATTTCCTAGTGCATGCCAGGCCAGAAACTAAGACCCAGGGCCCCAGTCAATGGATCCAGACAGAGCCTCTGGAAATCTCCCAGCGTTCTTGCTGCCCTGGCAGATCTGCTGTAGACAGCCTAGTCCTTGTTGGGCCGTCCCATTTCCTTCCCGTGGGGCTGCACCCGAAGGAAGCGCCCGTCAACAGTCCCCGTTAGCTCCTCCATTCCCTCGGTCCAGGCCAGCTTCTAGCCCACAGGGTGCCCAGGGCTGAAATCTAGTTTATCTGAAGCTTTTATTCAATAGCTAATGCTGGAAATATCTATTGCTGTGTGAAGAACTCTTCATGTCTTTTCTGGGAAATAGAATAACATCCTTTGGCACAGAGAGAGAGAGAGATCTGGGGTTTGCAGAGCAGGAATACATCTAGAAGAAGGCCATCTCCCCTCTTTCATGAGCTCAGTTACCCCATGCAGGGCATCCCAAGAAGGACGGGCAGGAAGCAGCTGGGGGCCTGATGTTGTTACTTTCCAGCCTTCTCCCACATTACGGAGTGTGGAGGTCAAAGCCAGCTGCTCACCTTGCCCTTGAA